ACTTGAATTTGCTTTGCTTTTTTTTCAAAATAATTTTGCCAAAAATATATGCGTAACCGGAAATTGATTGATTACAAAATATTCACTTATTTTAATCCTTTTTCCGCCTAAATTAAGGTAAAATTTTTATCATCAAAAAATATTTTTTAAAGCTAAAAAAGAAATATTGAAAAACTATTTTTATGCTTTCGCTAACTGAATCTGATCCACTCTGCCTTATTTTATGTATCTCATTTTTATAGTTGTATGGCCGCGTGTGTTTGTACGTGTGTTATTGTAAAATAGCGCGCCTTTGAGGAGCCCGAGTGTGCCGATGCGGTTGCCTAGGCGACTGGGGATGCTCGTGGAATGACGCTTTATTGACGTGCTCGATTATCAAGCGAGCTCCTTGCTTCTTTTCGCGTCGCAGAGAGAAAAGCGCGTTCGGCGGGAGCGTCGCTGCCGCCCACCGTCCGGCAAATTAATAAATTGCGCAGGCAACTCTTGGGGTTCGCCGCACAAACCAATTGAATTAAAACCCACACAAACATATTATTATTATTATTATTATACACTGGACCACTGCCCTCTCCGCAGCGCCTGGTTAGCCAAAATAAAAAAAAGGACGCTGCTGCTGAATTGAGGGCGAGCCGGCGAGCTTTTTAAAATTAAATTCTCGGCCGCCAAAGCTTCTTCTCGTCGGCTGATGGAAAAGCGGATTTTGCAGCTGGTGTTTATTTCAGACACTCGGCACGCAAGTCACGTTCGCGCAAGTGCGTGCCTATGCAATTTTCTGCCACTTGCACTCAACCCCAGAGAATATTTAAATTTGTAAGATTAAAATAAAAATTATTTATAAATATGTACTTCAACTGTTTTTATAAACATCAGAGATAATTTAATTCATCAGAATGAATTTTTCTTGATTTCAATAAATTTTAATATTTGTGAAGTAACGCATCAATTAATTAATTAATAATTTTTTTGTGCTCTACAAAGAAATTATAAAAAGTTCAAAGCCAAAATTATTAAATTATAAATTATCTTTCTTCACTTTAAATATTTGGAATCTTTAATACACTATAATGTTAATTAATTAAAATTAATCTGTGATCTTTGGATACGTTTCATTTTCTCTGTTATGAATGTGAAGCTTTTGATAAAATGATTTTCAATGAAAAAAGGAATAATTAATAGACAATTTAAAAATATTTTTTTAATTTTGCCTATATTTGACATCCTATTGATTCGCTTGATTGACACACTTTGTATCAATTAAACAAACTTTTGCTTTGCTCACAATGAGAATCCCTAGTGCAGTCGCAGAAATAACTAGTGCTGCGACAGGACTATCAATAAGGATTTTTAGGGTATATCTACTATTATTTATTGATTTGAAATTTATCTATAAATTGATTGTTTTTTTTAATTTTAATTATGAATATTTTCGTATATTGTTAATATTTTTTTTCATTTGAGACGTCTTAAATTTTTTTCATTCAAGATAACGTGAATTTTTTATTTTATTTTTAGTGATAACATTTCAGTCAATCCATATGATTACTGTAGAATTTCCAACGCTTAAACTAATTGAGGAGTGGTGAATTGCAATTCAATTGTTCGAACTGGAGCTCGCAAACGAGTACTATTTACACATGGATATTAAATTTTTAGTTCAAATTGTTAGCGTGCTGCCGTGGAAGCATGAATTGAAAACTATGATGCAAGGGCAGAGTTATGCATTCACCAAGTCCTCTGTGCGTCTCGTTCAAGCGTTAATTTGCTAAATAGAGCGGTTCTATCCACAGCACGAATGTATTTGCACTCGGTGCATTTTAACGCACACATGCTTCTGTCCCTGATGTTGAAATGGATGAGCTCATTTTCCAGGTAAATGCCATTCGTTAAATATGGAAATCAAAGAGAGACTGAAACATTTTATTGTTATTGCCGCAGAGCGAAACGAAATGGAAAAATTTCTGCCAGTGCTTTTTGTGTCGCATCTCCCACTCAATGGAAATTTTACACTCAAGTGCACAGAAGCGATCCGGATGAGTTTTATGCTGGCTGCAGTTGCGAATGAGTTTCAATTAGTGCCGTTTGAGCTGGAAAAATTGCGAGAGCAAAGTTCACGCTGGAGAAAGGGTTCACAGTTGAAAACCATTTTTAATAGGATTATGACAGAAGAATGTAATTACCAACTGATGAAAGTGACAAAAGGAATTTTTTTCGATTATTTTTAATGTTTAGCTCAATTAAAATTAAAAAGGAAGGCCAGAAATGCAGTCATTATTGTTTCTGGAAAATGGGGAATGGGAGGCTTTCATTTCATTAAGAAATCAATCCAAGATAAATTGGACGTTTGAAATTTCGCAATGCTTAACAAGTTTCAAGAATATAATTAGTTTTACACTATAATTAGCAATATTAATCTTATCTTCATTATTCTAGAGTTAAATCTAGAATTTACAATGTTCAGCACTTTTTCTATTATTTTAACCTTTTTAATAATTTAGATAACCTCATGTTTGGGGCAAAGTTGCCCTCAGTCAGTCAGTCTGAACCCAATTAACAAACTTCTTGAAAGTAATTTGAGAAAATATAATATTTTTAAAAATCGCTCCGTAAATTCATGTGGACAATGGATTTTTGCAATTGGTACCATTCTAATTAAAAAAATGTGGAACAAAATCGTCCGTTTCTTTAGTTTTCTCAAAGAAAGACACTTCTTTTTTTATCATATTTTACTTGAAAATTTTACTCTTGTATTGCAGATCTTTTTTCCATATATCCTGGGTTTTATCAGAAATAAAAATTTTCAAAAATTGATTTAAAATTATTTGTGTCAAAAGCATATTGAGATAAGTTATTTGTTTGCTTTTTAATGACACACAACACAAAACTGAAATTCGCATTCTTATTGTCCATGATTATGAGAAAGGGAAGAGTGAAGAATAACTATTTTCTCACCGGAAATTCCTTGAAGGATCCACAATTAATTCAAATATAATTATCGAGACCTGATGAATAGATATAATTATTTCCTTCCAAGCCCATCCATCATGAATCTTTCAAGCGGTTATATTAGCTCAAGTCGGTATTTAGCGCAACTATAATGAAGCAATCGGAAAATCGATGCGTGTGGAAAGGGACGCGAGTATTGGACATTTATAATTATACGCCGGGCCATTATTAAGGAAGGTACATTGGGAATGAGGCGCGTGTGTGCCAAGTTGTTCCCTCAGGAATTTCCGATGCATGCAATATAATATAGGAGAGCAGGGCCGGCGGACGTATCGATGGCCCTTACCAGGTAATGGTAATCCGCGCTGCCGCAAGGGATATTAGTTTAAGCCTTCCAAATTCCTGGAGGGCCGCAGCGATTAAGGCTAAACTTGATTCGTGTCTTATTGTCAGAGGATTTTGTTCGCAGTACGAAAACCTCCGTTTTTTTTTTATTCCCTCTAAAATATTCATCAAAGAAAGTACTTTCAGCGCCGACCTCTTTTCCTCTTCTTGTGTGTGCTTTAAAAATATTTTTTGCTACTTTCGTTTTGCAACGAAAATTTGAGCGCAGCCGAGTATTTCGAGAAGTCATCCGTCGCCTTGGGAGAGTTGCACTTTTTGAAACAAAGGCTGTGGAGAAAAATGCCTTTCAGGAAAATCAAGTTTGCTCAGCTCTTAAAAAATTCATGATCCGCGTTCACCGTTCGAAGCACGCCTGAAATGGCTCTTAATTTTCTCGGAAGCATTATGGGCATTCAAATTTACATAAATTTATAGAAACGGAACAAGAAACACTTGTTTGAAAGATGAGAATCCATTTTATTGAGTTTTCACAACAATTCGTTATTTCTGTAATATTATTCATTTATTCCGCAATGTATTTTCAGCATTGTACAATACAGTACAGAAAGTTTTAAGTTTGTTTTAAGTTCGCGGATTCAGATTTTCAAAAATTCGTGAAATAACATTTCTATTAATTTGTGCAATGACGTTTTTTTAATGGAAGAGTAAATAAATAACAAAAAGATGATAGGCAACATGCTGTACATAAATGGCAAGCGTTTTGCCTACCTCTTGATTATTGAGTTATCAAGAAGAACTTGCAAATAAACAGACAAATATTATCTTACAAGCAAAACAAATAATTTGCTATTATTATTTAATTAAATCACTTTTAAATTTTTTATGCATTAGAACAACGTAATATATTTAGAATATTAAATTTATTATTGAATATTTATTTAATACTATTTTTAGTTTTTGAAATATGTCAATTTTTTTAGTTAAAACATTTGGTAGAATTACCATATTTGTTTTAGTTACAAAATATACAGAATTGATAATTATTTGTTATTTACCTCGTTGATTGTACTGTCTTACTATTGAAATGAGTCTAGCAAATATTGGGACGCACAGATCGTTTATATCAGTGATTACTCATTGAATGGACATCAAAATTAAAATTATAAATTTGGAATGCAGTTATAAAAAGAAAATGCAGTGGGATTTCTGGAGGTGAAGCAGTTTTTCCTGTTTTCCATACAAAAACCCCCCCAAAGAAACAATAAACACGCAGGTTTTGTTTTTCTGTTTTCTTCAGCAGCGTGTCGGCGGGGGCAGAGGGTGGCGGCAAGGCGGCGGCATGTACGGCATGGTGAGTAGCGGGCCGACGCCGCAGGCCAAGCAGCATCATTTGCATCACGGGCCGACTTCTTCACGACGACAGGGTCTCTCCGGGTCCGCGTCGCGAGCCTCCAGAGCCACCCGCTCCATTTACCGCAGGCTGTTGAATTTCGTCAAGCAGGCCTGGACCGGAGTCAAGTTTGCGTTGGGTAAAAAACGAGGAGCGCCTCCTAGTCATTTGCACTCGGGTCGCTCCACTTTGCCCTCCTTTTTTGGGACCAACGATTCCAGTTTCTCCGTTTTATTTTTTATTCGCGCCCTCGGCCGTGATTGCACTAACCTTTCTTTCGCCCACTCTTCGTTATCTGCTACACACTTTGCCTCTTTCGCAGATTCGGAGCTGGAGGAGTTGGAGGCGCCGCCGAGTTACAGACCAGACAGTTTGGAGGCCTTATGCAAAGCGACCCGCTTTTCGGAGCCAGAGTTGAAGAGGATATACCGCGGCTTCAAGGCCGAGTGTCCGTCGGGGGTTGTCCGAGAGGACACTTTCAAGGGCATTTACTCACAGTTCTTCCCTCAAGGAGGTGAGATTTTTCCCCAATTTTAGTTTTTTTTTCATTTACTATACAAATATTATATTTTAAAATTAAAACAAAATTATTGATCGACTAAACTGCGCTTATGAGGAAAAATTACTCATAGCATGGAATTTTTTTTAACGATTTTCGATGCTATTTTTAACAATACAATAAAAAAATGTATTATATAGCAATACAAATAACATAACCCAATGATATTGATGCAACCAGTCTTAGAATAAAGGTTTGGTAGGTTTTTGAAAAGTGTTCTAGTAACGATAAATTAAATGTATCAATTTCAAAATTTCACCCTAGAAATTTTAACAACTTTAAATATTCAAGAATGAATTAAATGTCTAATAGTAGTAATAGTAATATTTTATTTAACTTGAATACAAATAATTGAGTGGTCCAATTTTTCAATAAATTTGATACATACACGATCCGGCAAAAAAAAATGGATATTCATGATACAGACAAAAAGCACTTTCACTTTGTTCCCGATCTTCTCTAAAAATATGTGCCCCGTTTTTTTCTTGATGGAAGAAGTTAGCACGCCGTGTTTCGTTTCGCTCGTTGCTTTTAACGCAACATATATTTCTGAACCGTCACCACCAGACGCTTTCCTCTCTTCTTTTCACATTCTTGGACGCTTTTTATCGTGAATATTGGAAACACGATGTCGCTCGATCGGCTGCATTGACATTTTATTTACTCGCTCTCTGGCAGGCAGGTCGACCGTGACTCTTCGCATAATCAAGCGCAGGTGCTTCGCCAACTTTTCTCATCGCATCGCGCACATCTTTTTCATTCAGAAACAACACGTGCTTTTGTTAGCACATCGCTTAACTTTTGTCAATGAAAAAGCACTCAAATTTCGCGTGTTTAATCACAAATCAGCGCGTGAATAAAAATACGATGAAAAAAGAGACTGTGACGTATCATATAGAGCAAAAATTTAGCCTTAAAATAAGAGGGTCGAGTGTGCAGCTTGTAATAAATTTTGATAAACTCCTTTGGAACTTATACTGAAAAGATTTTGTTTTTAGAGCGTATAGAAAAACCAGCAAATATTGAGATATAAAGTACAATTAAACCATAAAAGTTAAAATAAACGTGGTTTTCAATTTTGTTCATGCTTTGGATTTCAATAAAAAGTAAAAAAAAGACAAATTATTTTTACTCTCATATCCCGAGTCTTGCCGAATAAAAAAATGTCAAATATAATTATTTAAAATAATGAATGAAATATAAATTTTCTATTGCTCGCAAACATAGTATTTCAATCGCTATCGAGTTGTCAAATATTTTAAACAGGAGCAGAATTGAATCATTAAATATTAAAAACATTTTTTTTTCTCACTTATAAATTTCAATCTTGCAGATTTATTTTTAACCCTAAGAATGACTGTGAAGTAAGTCAGATGAAGACCTGCCTAAAATCTCACTGAAATCGAGATTTGCCATCTCAAATAGCAGATTAATTTCGAATTCAAATTGAACAAGAATAACCGTCTGTGCAAATTTAAATTTATATAAAAATAGTACTTCAGAAAGCCCCCGACTGAAATTCGCAACTTTGGACAGCATTTGCAAAGTAAATTAAAACAAAATAACGAGGCTTTGTCAAACAAGTCTGGAGTTTCCAAGTAATCCGTAATTCGATAAATTGGCATGAGCTGCTCTTCGCGTCTCATCAGAAACTTTAACTCGTAATAAGCAGTTCGCTTCGCCGATTAAATTCCCAGTCGTCCCATTTTGCCGATCGAGCGTGCTTCAGTTCCGCAGAGAGCGGCTTTGCTTAAGCTAATAACGTAAACTAGCTTCTATCGCTCTGTTTCAGCCAACACCAGTCAATACGCACATTATGTATTCAACACGCTGGACCACGACCACAGTGGGCTGCTTAGTTTTGAGGTAAATATATAATATTTCATTTCACCCCTTTTGCCTTTTATTTTACGAAAAAAACTTGCCGAAAAAAAAACAAAAGTTGGGTATTTTCTGCTCTTTTGGGTTCGCACACTTCAAAGACGACTTTTCCTCCTGCGCGCCACTAAAAGGGCAACCAAAAGTTATTCAAATGTCAAATGTCACCGTTTTGAAACTGCAGCAGGAAATGTTATCTGCGTGCCTGTCCTGGATAACTCGGCTCAAAACGCTTGCGATAACTTTTGTTTTGCTATTTCATCACGGAGAATATGTCTTGTTTTTGTAAAGAATGCTGAATATTATCAGTCTGTCTGTACCTGTTGCTAGTGACACAATACGATAGGTTTGTTCCAATAATTTTCAAAGACAATTCCATTCTATCGCAAGAAAAAATATTTCTCTAATATAAGCTTATATTTAAATTTAATTGAAATTAATTTATTGCAAAATTTAGGGTTGTAGATATTTTGAGCAGTGGAATCAAAAATGGAAGGTTGATAGTTGATTAAACGATTTTTTTCTTGTTATTTAAAAACGCAGAGCCATTATTTTGAATAAAACCGTTTTAATTATGTATGTATTTAATGTGAAGCTTTTTTTCAGCTTTTGAGAAAATATGAATAATTTTTTGGAGAAACATTTCTAGCATATAATAGATTTTATTGTGTAGAAGCTAAAGGTTGGTGAATGGAAAAAGTTTTAAATTAAAATAGTATGTATTTAAAAATCTTAGTCTATTGTTTTTTTAAATTATTTTTGGTTCCAATCGGAACTCTAAAATGAGGAATTAAAAATTCATAATATTTGTAAAGCAAAATAATAATTCTTTCACAAAATCAAATTTTGCAAAATTTTATCAATACAGAATTATTATTACGATTTATGTTATACTAACAATATGATACTTTTTTTTAAATTTTAGTACAGTTATATGTGTATCAATCTACACCTTTTTTAACCCATATATCTAAATTATTTTCACAAAATCAAATTTTAAGAGCTGAAAAATGAACGCTGTGGTTCTTCAAGTTTGTTCCGTCCTTCTACTGCTCTCGGCTGCTATGGGAAGCGATCCATGTTTACCAAACCACCGGTACTCGAATCCGGACGACTGCACAAAATTCCACACCTGCGTCGGCAAACAACTGAAGGAGCAATCTTGTCCCGATGGTCTGCACTTCAACAACGCCACCAAAGTGTGCGATTGGCCGTACCAAGCCAAGTGCCAGGTCGGCGGGTATGAGTGCGAAAAGCCTGGAGCTTTTGTGCCCAACCTCAACGACTGTTCCACCTTCTTCCAGTGCAACGATGTGAACATGCCTGTCCTGATGAACTGCAGCGAGGGGTTGCACTTCAACGTTGACACCGACCTATGTGACTGGCCTGACAAGGCTCTCTGTCCTCGGAACAAGGAGGGCTTGATCCAATAATATTTGTTACAAAAATATAGATAAAATGTAGTTTTTAAAATTACAAAATATAATCAAAAAATATGTGTTATGTGTTGAAAATTAAAAATGTTCTCAATAAAATTGTTGTATTCCTCATATAAAAAAGGAATGGTTGAAAAAAGGATAATAATTGCGTGGAGATACAATAAAATGTGCAAAAAATTATAATGAAAAATTATCGGAGCATCTTTCTACAGAGCCCAAACAATGATTTATAATAATTTAAGAAATTACAATATGGAAATAAAAATTAGAGTGATCATCGGCACTCTTTTGAACTTCTTCAAATTAATTATTCGAATTATTCTTTTGCAACTACAATTGTCAGTATTTCACAGTTAATTTGCTTGTTTCAGTTGTTTCAATTTCATTTTCCACTACTAACACTATTTAAAATTGGCTCAAAAGCAAATTATTCTTCAGGATTTTGTCCTCGGTTTGTCCACCCTGTCCCGCGGGTCTTTGGAAGAAAAGCTACGATGGACTTTCGGACTGTACGACATCAACGGAGACGGTTGCATTACAAGAGAGGAGATGACGGACATTGTGACTGCAGTCTACGATCTCATGGGAAAGTTTACAGATCCTTTTGTCGATGACGCTGTGATCAAAGACAAAGTCGATAGGATATTCCAGGTGGACTGAATTTGCTATGATTGAAAAAAAAATATATTAGAACTTTGCCATACATTTGTTCCATTTTGGAAACAAAATTTTTCTCTAAAACAGAGAACAAATTTGAAAATATTTATTTTAATTACAAATTTTATCATAATTTATAAATATTGTGGTTTTAAATAATACGGTATATTGATACTTTTTTGTCTCAGAAAATGGACCAGAATCATGACGGTGTGGTCACCTTGGACGAGTTCCTGACGTGCTGCACCCAAGACGATGCTATTTCCCATTCCATGTGTGTTTTTGACTCATCCATCTGACCCACGTGTTTGATGACCCGATCATCCACTTGGTGACTTTTTACATGTTCACAGCGTGAAATTTTTGGAAAACGAGTTTGTCTTCTCTCGCGTACGTTTTCTCAAAATAACTCACTTGACCGTGTGTACTTTTAACAAAGAGAGAGAACTTTTGTGCCGACTGCTGTACCCGTGTGCTTTACTACACAAAATATTTATTAGTGAATTTTTTGAATGTGCATGGAAGGAAATTTGAAAATGGCCAAGTTGTACCCTTACATACATACATATTATATTGTAAATGTTAAATATTTACTGTATTATTGATTGAATTAAATTAATTAACATCATTATGTGTCGATTGAAATTTCGCCACGTCCTGTTAACAAAAAGAATACATTGTATTTCTACTTGTAAGGCAATATTCCTACAAAAAATATACACATGCCACTTTAAAGTTTCTTTAAACAGACGTTGTTTCATTTTTGAGCCCTGATTTTTATCCCCATGTGTGGAATAATTTGGATGACAATAAAAAGAGAACATTTCATACATGTTAATATGCTAATTTATTAGAAACAAAATAAACCAATGTACACAAGGATGAAATAATGAAATGTTCGAATAATCTTCTTTTCAGATAGAGGAAAAATTAACTCACAGAACATACTACCTATTTGGGAGGAAAATCAAGAATAGAACCAATTGTTTTGATAGAACGGTAATTTGCTATGTATAATTTTTTTTAGACTTTCTTGTTAATAAAATGCAATAGAAAATTTCACTTAGGAACTAACAATTATTACACTTTTTTTTCTTGCCGTTACAAATTCAGAGAGCAGCCTAATTAGTATTAAACTTTTGAGAATATTAAACTGTCACATCTATTCTGTATTTTGAGAGAAAAATATTATATATTTCGTTACCACTACAAATTCAGCCTTCGTTATGCTTCATATTCATGTCTTCGAATTTTCTCGGCTAAGGATTGAACAGAAGTGCTTCGTTGATCTCTAATTCTTAAATAGGCAAATTAAAATTGGACCCTATCAAGCATTTGGTTGAATATTTTGTTAATATTAATGGATAGATGAAATTTAGATGTGGCGGTTTACTGCTAGTGTGCCGACCTGTATAATTTCCGAAGGTCAAGACGTTAAGTACAGAAGGAATTGTTTTTCTCTATCAAAACTTCCAACAGCTACCAATGGGAGTAAGGATGACAATATTGTTATATATGTTTAATTTCCAGCATTTGCCAATTGTCAATTTGCTAACACATATGACAAGCTGTGTGATATCTAATGAATGCTCTCTCAAATTTGCTTAATCACAAAAATGCTAAAAACACTGCGAGACTTTGCAGGAAGAAATTAACAGTGCTTCATCAAGGCAAAGAACACGATATCCAAAAATTTTGCTACCCGTCGAAAGTGAAGATGAAAAGCATACATTTTGTTTCATATATTTTCATCAAGTAATCCAGCCAGCAATTTCCATTTCAAGCTACAAGATTCCAGCTTCTTTTGTACTTTTGATCTTGCAAATTTTGAAATGAATTATAATGTTACACATAGATGTTGTTTGTTTTGTTTTTCTTGCAACTCAGGTGATGATTGCATGGCTCGTAACTTGATACTCCAGTATAAATGTAAGGAATGAGGGTTGCTCTCTTTTCTAAAAAGCAATCCAAAGATGAAGGGGTGGAGGGAATGGAGTCATTGTAGTGTTTAGTACAGGTGGTCCTTGATGCGGCCACCGTCTCCCTCAGACACGAAGCGTTTGCGGCCCCTTTAATTTACAGTAAATTTAAAATATGCTCAAAAATACTCAAAATGAAAAAAAAATTATACCTTGTCGGAAGCTTCCTGACCAGATTGTGCGATATGAATCCAGCCTTCTCACAATTTTCCAGGAATCTCTCCAGGACACTGTGAGCCACTGGCACATCAAGACAAATGTCATCGAGATCTTCAAAGATCCTCATGATACCCTAAAATTAAAAAAAAAAAAAAATCAACAAAAATTCACCAAAGTTTGTAAAACGTCAAACAATCACAGACAAAAATATATATAAAAATTGATTTACACTTACCCTTTCCATCATGTCGGGAGTAATGATGACTGCATCAGACAGGAATTTGAGCAGACAAACCATCTTGCCTTCTGTGGGCCCAACCACAGCTTCAATGGTCATGATAACAGCCTGTTTACAAAATAATTTAATTACTACTGAGCAATTGAAATTTTAGTTCAACAAACCTCGTAGACCAGTTCATGGTGGAAATGTGGCACCTCAAGTTCTTGGAGGCACCTGGCAGCCTCCTGCAGGTCTCCTGAGGAGAGATACTCTCTCAGAAGAAGGACCATCTGACGGATGAGACTCTTGACTGGCCTGGTGCCGCCTCCAACGCCCCACACGTTGTCCAGCCGGACAAGTCCGTGCTTCAGTGAGAGGAGGGTTTCGGCCCTGGAGATGGTAATTCTGGAGTGGGCGGTCACAATGGTGGCGTGACTGGTGCCATTGGCGTCGCCGTTGGCCAGCCCGTTCACTTTGGGCTCCTCGTCTTGCTTCACGGGGGAGGATGGCGTCTGCTTGGCCAGGTCACTCAAGTCGTACACGTAGCGAGGGGGCAGGCAGTCGTCTGCTACGGCACGAGCAAGGAAGTTGGCCAACACGGTGGCCGCATCTGGTGTGTCCAGCACCAGATCCGGAAGGTTGCGGAGCAACTCGTCAAATGCTGCAGATAGAATTAGGCAATGAGCAAAACATAATACAGGGATTTCATTGAAAAAATGGTTAAATGGACATTTTCTACTCCTTTGATCTTCGCAGACATTTCAGTGGAGTCAGTCAAAAATATTGATATAATTTCTTCTTTTGTTTTCTTACTTTATACTTTCATTGTTAGCAAATTGGTAAGGTTTAATTCGTTTAATTATTATTGTTATTTCCACTGAGGTTTGTAGACAATTTTTTGTCTGCACTTCAATCAAACTCACCTCTGGCAATATCCCTCTCACTGACAATGCGGCCGTACATGTCAGAAATGAGGACAGAGGTGAGCTCTCGGTGGGAGGGCTTGTGGTCCATGGCCATCTCAATGGCAATGTATGGCAGCTGAAACATGTCCGGGTTGATAAATTTGCTACCAGAATTGCTTCCAATATTTTTACACTACTTTCTAGTGATTACAAATTCTCTTTAAAAACGTAAATAATATAAAAAAGTTATTGGCCAGACATATTCACAAGCTATCGATTTTTTTTAAAAAATGATTCAAGTTGATTTGAATTAATAAAATTCAACTCACTCTATAGCGCTTCTTTCCAGCGTGCAGCTCCTCAAAGGAGATGCAAGCCTCGTGGGTGTCTCCGTTTTCAAAGTACTCGAGGATGATTGGCTCTGCAGCCTTCTGCAGCTCTTCGTCAGAAAGCACAGGGAAGATGGTCTTGAGCTCAATTTCCCCATTGTCCATCGAGTCGCTGTCGTAGTTGGGGTCGTGCGAGTCGACGTACTCCTCGGCCAGCTCAGAGCCGGGCTTGCCCCACACACCTTTTCCTCCGGCACCACCTGCAAATTGAAAGGAACAAAATTTAATTTTTGTTTTTTTTTTTTCATTAAAATATGTTTTTGCTTAATTTAAACACAAAATTTTACTTCTGTTTGTTTCATTTTCGTTTATTTATTTTTAATTTTCTGCGAGTGTGTTATTATTTTTGATCTGGTATTTTCGAATCTATTTTTAAATAGACCGTTTGTTGTCAATCTGTTGCTCTCCCACTAGAGCGAGGCCAACAGCCCAAGAAAACGTTGCAACCCCGCACGCTAGGCAAACACAAAATAGCAGAGGTCGAGAAAGCAGGCGAGCAACACGCACCACCCAAACAAGCCCGAGCTTGTCCAGGGTCAGGTACAAAACGCACAAAAGGTCTTTGTGTCTCATTATCCCTTTGGGCAGCTTCTCCCAATCTTGATCTATTAGGACTTTGAGGGAAGAAAAAAATTTCCTCTCCCTTCTCTGCGGCAATAACAAGTGAAGGAAGCTGTACACAATCAATGCGGGTGCACTTTTTTTCAATGCGATTTTCTACGCGCACCGAGGAGGCCTTGCAGCAAGTAATGCGCCCCTGAACTATTGCATCTATTTGTATTTTATTGTATTTTTTTTCTCTATGCGTGCGCAGAGGTGCAGGAAGAAGAATTAGACCGCAGGTAGAGACGACGCAGCTCTCGGCTATTTAAAAACAGGCTGCCGTTTCTCTTCTTCTTCTTCTAGGCGGCGCATGGAGAAAAGTATCACACTTTATTTAGGGGAAAGATCTTTCTCGAGTTAGAAACCGTCAAACTAGCGTAGGCCTTCCTTGACCTACAAGTCCTGCCATAAGTGTTTTATTTTGTTTTACCAAAATATTAGTGTGATAATTGTTTGTCTTCACCGTTAGTTCAAGGCTCAGGTTGAATTGTATTGCTTGAAAAGAAATTAACGTGGATGTCGGTGTTGTAATCTATTATTATTTGAAATATTTTTGAATCAGTTTAATTTTGTTATCATAAAATTATAAAATCCGAGAGAAAAAGTACACATCTTAAAAAAAATTTTAAAAAATCTTGTGGATTTTGGAGTTTGGGAATTTGAATAATCTGTTAATCTATAATTCAAATATAAATTATAAAAGCAGGGCAAATATGGATTAAAACAACTTAATTTTTCAAACTAGATCAGCCTTCAATGGGATATCTAATTAGCTTGACACTTTCAAACCAGATATTGCTCTATAGAAGGAACTGAAATATAGTTATTACTTGTTCATTAAAGCAATAACATTTTATATCTTCCTTCACTTGATTTATGTCCTTGAAACTTGTTCCTCTGCATGAACAAGAGACCGATTTATTCCGTGTCCGGAGTGAGAATTTATTTATGTATACGCATTGCAAGTCATGCGCTGGCCAAAAAAGTAAAAAATAAAATTCCACTCCCACAAGAAAAGGAGTCTAGCAGCAATTATTATGATCGGCGCGCACCGAGACTGCTTTTGTGCGCTGGAAATCCTTGATGCAACTGGCACACATCAATCGTTGGCATGCACCTTTGGCAAAGTGGCTGCACTGGCGTGACCCTGCTCGTTTTCTACACCATACGCAATCTTAGAGGAAAAGGAAGCGCGAACAATTTTTTTTGCGCTTGATAACTTCCTCTGCCAATTCAGTGAAAATGCTCAAGTCTCCAACAGAAAACTTATCGGCTGTGAATAAATTGGTTATTTTTTCGTCACGTGATGCTCCTCCACCTTGGAAAAGCAGCCATAGCAACGTTTGGTCGCCCACGACCGCCTTATTAACGCTGAGGACGGTTATATTTAGACGGAAAAATCACAAATTATTTTCCCTCGGTTCAGTTGCTGCTCAAACACGGTCTGGCAGTTTCATCTGATTTGGATGTGAGCCAGTCAGGTTAACAGTTTTAATTTTTATTTTAATATCAAGCGAACAAAAAAATATTTGTAAACCAATATTTTGAGACAAGTAATTTGGGATAAAAAAATTAGAATGGTGAATTTAAAGCAAAAAACTTGCTTACTTTTTACTTTAATGTTTACATAATGATGGAAAATTAAAATTTAAAAAAAAATGATATGCAACTATTTTTTAAACTTCAATGAAATGTAAATAATTAGTTGATTTTATGGATTCATTCTAAATTAAACTAATTAAATAATTAATAAATTTATTCTAATTTAAACTTTATAAAATTAAATACAAAAAATTATTATTATTTTTCTCAAAAAATTTGACTTAAATTGCCCCTTTGACTAATAATCAAACAGCAAAATATTTAACAAAGCATCAGTTTTTCAGCTTACGATTTTTATCATCATTAGAAACTTTTATAATCAAAATGCTCTTAAACGTATTCATATTGCTTAAAAAAAATTAGAAAAAATTTCAAAGTTGAAAGGTAATTTAAGCAAGGAAAAACATAAAATTATAAAATACTGGTGGTGTTAAATAATTAAATGAGCAGCCTTGACGGTTGACTGCAGTTGATTGTTTACTATAAAGACCACAATCATAAAACCAAGTATAAAGTGGGGCCGCGGTGCGTTATATCAATTCACCTGTCGGATATATAAATACTGCAATAATTATAGCATAGCGAGTGGCTGCTCTGTTTCGCGTCTATTATACAATTCTTCTTGCAGTGTGTTTTTCTAATCGGATCGGTCGTCGAACCCGAGCAGCTCGTTGGTAACCCAAAACTTTCACTTTCGACATCGGCGGCCGTGGCCTGAATGAGGAGCGATGACTCCTGCGCTACTCCGCAGCTTTATCACGGCGCCGGCGAATGCAGCCCGGTGCATTTTTACTTCCAACTCACAAACGAGCGGTGACGCAACCCGCGCGAGGTGCGTTCTGCAGATTTGTGGCGAGGTAAATTGGAAATCTATAGTATTCAAACACGACGGACGCGGCAAAACCGGTTCAAGGTGTCTCGCGCGACAACGAACTGAATGGCATTTGATTCAATTATCTATTTACATATTCAGTTGGTCCGAGTTTATCTCTGCGCGGTCGAACCGATTGAATAATTTATTGCTCACTCGGCGAACTGCATGTATGTGTGTTGACCGATTAGTCCGACCTGTCAAATTGGCTCGCCACTTTTATTGGCGCAATTTCCACTTGTATAATATAAAGAATGACGCGCGAAAAGTTTTTTATAATTTGTTTTGCTTGCCGACGAGCTGCCGAGTCGCGAATATAAAAGACAGGAAAAGGTCATTTTTCACGTAATTGACGGGTTGGAAATAAAAAAAGTGAAGCAAGAGCGCATTTTTCATAACAAACTTTGGCCTCTGACAGCACGCGTAAACACTAGTAAACAGGAAGTTTGTTGGAGATACTCGAATATTGGACTGAAAAAGCCATCATTAATACAATTCACGCTGAATTTGAAATAAATATAAATCTGAAAATATCAATATTGATAAAATATTAATTATACTATAAAACATGCTGTATTTTAAGTTAATTACCATGAGCCTCAGGAAAATATAAATTTTGGTATAGAAAAGTTAATCGTAAACATTTCAGGTGCAACTATTAAAAATTAATTCAATATTATGTTTTGAAAAATATTAAACAAACATGGAGATTGAAATTTCAGAAATTTGTGAAAAAATGTATCAATATTAAAAGAAAGTAACATAAAAACTGAAATTAAAAAAGTTTTTTTGTAATGTTTTACAATATATATTGAACAATGAGCTATAATTCTATAGAGTGTAAAATACTACATTGATCAACTTTAATTTTTCTTCTTTATTTGTATCATTCATTCTCTTTATTTGCAAATGCACTTGACGTTTGAGAATTGAAAAACAAAACAAAAATTTAATTAAAACAAAGCAATTAAACGGCCGTACAAATTGTTCCAAATTTTCTTTCCGCTCAATTACTAAGTTCGGAGTCAAAAGCGAAACAACACACTCAATTCAAAACATATATACAAGCTTAACTCTGCTCTTCACAATTAGACCAAAACAAAGCAGTGTCTCATTAGCGATGTGCTGAAAGCACAGGTCGTTGCCTCAAGAAAACAATTGCTTTGTTCTGCGCGTGTTTTGATTACATACACATCATGTAATGTACGAATTGCTCAAGAATTACGCATACAAATCGATGTGGGAAAGCGTTCGGATTGATCCGCGAGCCGAGCAACTGCCGACGTGCCGCTCAGAACGTCCCTTTTTCGCTCACCCGACGCATTTACGCATGCGTTCGTACATAAGCCGATTTTCCGAGTGGCGCTGCAGCCACCGGACGAGAACTACTGCATCCGAATGCAGCTCTCCGAAGAAGGCTCTGGAAGGAACCAAAAACAGCTGGCCTCGCCCCAAAGTAGTTAATTAAAAGCAGCATTTTCTCTCTTTCTTTCGGTTGAAAAGCGAGGCAGGGGGCAGTCAAAAATAAAATCCGCGCAGTTGGCCGGGGCGCAGTTGGAAGAAGTAAAAAGTTACGCATTCCGGTAGTAAATAAAAACAAAAGTATTAGAGTTCGACTCTCGGTGGGTGTTGTTTACGTGGCTATTTTTAAATCGGGTTAAATTGGGCGCTTTCCCACACCAGACGGCGCCCGACTCTCGAATATAGGAATTTTGAAACCGGCGTGATGATTGATTTGTAAAAGCCGAATGTGTGTTTGTTTTCAATTTTGCCTCTGGCTCCTTTGTTTGTTTTAAATAACAGAGCAGTGACTTGAATTTTTTGTCCCTGCTCTTTGAAAACTGTTCTAAAATGAAAATTTAATTTCTTTATTATTTTATTTTAGGACAAAACCAAATAATTAAGACATTTTTCTCTTAATTTAATAATGAATCATTCAAGAAAGTTCGATTGCTGACTTTTCAATGCTCATTATCTACAGAGACTGCGGCGAGTGACTTCATGCACTGTTGCCAAGACTTTTCACAACAAAATGTGCAAATTTATCAATCGGCACAAGTATTAAACTCAAAGCTCCGTTACTTGCGAGGCAGATCTCGTCTCATAAAAACCACGTTTGTGCTT